AAATAGTGCTGGGAAAAAGTGGATATCTATATGCAGAAGAATGAAACTAAATTCCAATCTCTCACCATATACAAAAATCAACTCAAAATGGATTAAAAACTTAAATGTAAGTCTCTAAACTATAAGAAAACATAGTGAAAACACTCCAGGACATTGGTCTAGGCAAAGATTTTTATGGCTAAGACCTCAAAGGCACGGGCAACAAAACCAAAAATAGACAAATGGGATTACGTTAAACTGAAAGCTTCTGTACAGCAAAGGAAATAATCAACAGAGTGAAGTGACGACCTGTTGAATGGCAGAAATATTTGCAAAATATTCATCTGACAAAGAACTAATATCCAGAATATACGAAGAACTCAAACAACTCAACAGCAAAAAACCAAACAATCCCATTAAAAAGTGGAAAACGGATCTAAATAGACATTTCTCAAAAGAAGACATACAAATGGTCAGTGTATGAAAAAATGCTCGACAACACTAATTATCAGGGAAATGAAAATCAAAACCACAATGAGATATCATCTCACCCTAGTTAGAAAGGCAGTTATTAAAAAGACAAGAAAAATAAATAAATAACTAATGCTAGTGAGGATGCAGAGAAAAGAGAACTTATCATACACTGCTGGTGGGAATGTAAACTAGCACAGTCATTATGGAAAACAGCATGGAGATTTCTCAAAATACTAACAGGATCCACTGCTGCAATCCCACTACTGGGCATTTATCCAAAGGAAAGCAAATCAGTAAATCAAAGTGAAACATGTACCTCCGTGTTTATTACAGTACTATTCACAGTATCCAAGATATAGAATCAATGTCAGTGTCCATCAACAGATGAAGGGATAAAGAAAATGTTGCATATGTACACGATGGAATACTATTTGGCCATAAAAAATGAAATCATGTCATTTGCAGCAATATGGATGGAACTGGAGATCATTCATTACGTTAAGTGAAATAAGCCAGACCCAGAAAGATAAATATCACATGTTTTCACTCATATGTGGGGGATAAAAAAATTGATCTCATGGAGGTAGAGAGTAAAATGATAGTTACCAGAGGCTGGGAAGGATGTTGGTGTGGGGTGGGTGATGAGATGTTGGTTAATAGGCACAAACATACAGTTAGATACATGGAATAAGTTCTAATGTTCAATAGTAAAGTAGGGTGACTACAGTTAACAACAATGCTACATTTCAACATAGCTTTAAAAGAGGACTTGAAATGTTCTCGACAGATAGAAGTGATAAATACTAATGGTGTCTGATATCCTGAATACTCTGAATTGATCATTACATAATTGATACATGTAACAAAATATCACATGCACCCCATAAATATGTATGGATATTATGTATCAGCAAAAAATTTAGAAAATATTAACCAAAAAAGTTAGTGTAGCTATAGTAACATCAGACAAAATAAATATTAAGGCCAAATGAATTACTAGGAATAAAGAGCATTTTCCCAAAGTTATTTTTTTTAAAAAGTCACCAGGAAGATATAATTCTAAATTTGTATGAATCTCTTATAACAATATAGAATGGCCTCAAAATACATAAAGCAAAAATTGACAAACTTAATAGAATATTTGAGTTCACAATCATAAAGTGAGATTTTTTAATGCCCCTCTGATAAAGTAAGATTCTTTTTATTTGTCTTGCTGCCTATGTCCCTTTCTAGAATATAATCTAAAATATATAATCTTTTGTATCTATTTTATTCACAGATGTATTTTAAGCAGAGAACAGTGCCTGGCACATAATAACTCCCTAATAAATACTTGTTGAATGTTTGAATTATTCAAGATGAAAAAAAGACAGTCAGTATAGAGATTGGAAAATATAGTTAATAAGCAAATTCAATCAAGTTTCATGGAACCTGTACTCCCAAATCAGTAAATGTATATTCTCCTCAAACATACATGAAATATTTATGAAAATTTATCATGGACTACACCATAGTCTCTGACCATAATACAATGAATTTAGAAATTAACAGTGACAAAACAATAAAATTCCGTGTACTATAAAATGTGCAACATACTTCTAAATAACTCAAAGAAAAAGCCATAATGAAGAATAGGAAACAGAACTGAATGGGAATAAAAATACTACATTTCAAAATTTGTAGTAAGACTATCTAGAAGGAAATCTATAGATTCATCTGCATATATAAGAAAAGAAAGGATAAAAATTGATGAGCTATACATATAAACTAAGAATTTAGAATAAAAAGACCAAAAAAATAAACACAAAGAAAATACAAGGAAGTAACTAATAGAGGGCAGAAATTATTGAAATAGAAAAAATTTACACAATAGAGGATCAAAAAAGCCAAAAGCTGCAAAGCTGGTTCTCTGAAAATAGATAAAACTCTGGCAAGATTGATCATTAAAAAAAGATAAGCCTTAATATTAGAAATAAGAAATGTTCAAATTTCAGATATGGCAGAGATTTAAAAACATTGAATATTAAGAAATTTTTGATGCTAATATATTTAAAAGCAAACAGAATGGACAATTTTCTAGAAAAAGTATAATTTATCTAAACTGACCCAAGGAAAAAACAGAAAACCTAAAATCTGTAATCATTAAATATATTAAATTACTAGTTAAAAGTGTATTTATCAAAAAGCATATTTACCAGATGATTTTATAGGTGACTTCCCGCAGTTAGTTAACAGTTAATCCTTATCTTAAAAAAAGTGTTCCAAAGAACAATAACTGATTCCTACTTCAGTTTGTGAAGCTAACAGAACTGTGATATTAAAACCAGCAGAGACAGTACAAAAAAGGACATTTATGGGCTAATCATGCTCATTTTACCATTTGCTGAAATGTTAGCAAACTTTAGGAATGCATGATAAATAATAGTACATCATGACCTAACTAGATTTAATCCCAAGAGATCAAGGATGGTTTAACATTAGAAGGTCTATCAATATATTTCACCACATGAACAGATTAAAGAAGAAAAATCATATAATCTTCCCAGTGGAGGTGTTGATAAAATTCAACTCCTATCCATGATTTAAAAATGAAAACAGAAACTTTAGTATCTAGGAACACAAGGAATCTTCTTCACCTGATATCAGGTATCTATCAAAAAGTACTTAACTGTAAAAAATTTGAAAATAATTCTCCTTAAAAATCAGAAACAAGATAAGGATGCCTGCTTGTAGCCAACACTGTACTGGAGGTCCTAGCCAGCACAAACATAATTTAAAGGAATCAAGATTTCAAAGGAAAAAACATGGCAAATGTGTCTTTGGGGACGTCCACGTACTCACAGAGGTCTCTGAGAAGTGGTCGAAGAGTTCGATACCTTTTTAGAATTCCAGGGTTCCAAAATATCTAGATTTTTTAAAGTCCAGAGTGTTCTCATTTTGGTGATTTTTGCTCTTTTTAAAATCCAAAGTTATATTTCATCAGTTGTCTTTCATCTAAAAAGATCCTCTACCACTGTCTTATTTTTAATTTGTACCTAGCTCTTTTATAACCTGAACTTTCCAGGTTGACCGAGGATTCAATTTCGTTTGACTTCCTGTTTGGCAGTCACCTGTCCCGCTCTGCTTCCAGGCAAGAAGGCTGAGCACACCTCTGGCGATTGCTATAGGATCTCCTGGTCCTCACTGCTCTGATGGAGGCATGCAACTAGTACTGAGCTTGGCTCTAGTGCGGCAGACTCACTGCTGCTCTCTCTAGGAAAGCTTTTTATTCTTTACCATTTTCAGGATGTTTTCATAAGCTGCTGTCAAATAATACTAAGTCTTTAAAAAAAAAAATCCCATTTTAGTACTTGGTAGGGAAGTTGTATTTAATTTTCTTTCCCCTTGACTGTTTAGATGGCTTGCTCTTGTGGTTTTTCTAAGTATTTTTGCATTGTGAGTCACTCTGAGCAACTGACTGGGAATGTAGGAAGAAGTCGTCTTCTTTTGCTATTTTAATTTACTGTGTGATTGACCCTGGGCCAGTCATTGAACCTAATCAAGTAAACTTCATTCATTGCTAAATAAAGATAAAAGGCAGCCTGGAAAAATGGGTTAAAATTAGACCCTGCCACCTAATGACTCACTCTCTTAATAACTGACTCACACAAATTAATTAGCTTTTTCCTATAACATTTCCATTTGGGAAAAAATCTCCTTTATTATGTTTGCCTAGTTGTAGCCCTTTTACATCTCCCCAGTCGTTTTTTGTTACCTCTCCACTGGCTTCTTTAACTTCACTGCTTAGTTCCAGTGAACAATCATGGCACTCTATGATGGTCAGCCCACTACCCCACCAAAAAAAAAAAAAAAAAAAAGAGCACACGGGAAGAAATATGAGTGGAAGGAAAAGTGGACATAGACAAATAGACAAAGCCCTGATACAAGTTCCAGCTCCTCCAAGTACTAGTTCTGTGATCTTAAGAAAGTCAGTTAATGTCTCTGAGCCTACACTTTCTAATTTATAATTTTATCTTTTTAACCTCAAGGGCAATTATTACAAAAAGCAATGACAATGAATGTGGACAGTGCTTTGAAGAACTGCAAAGTACTCTATATTTTTATTTATGTTGACTGAATAATTTTATTCATTGAATTTAGTTATTATATAATATATAGGTTTTAAGAAGACCTTGAATGATATTCATCCATGTTAGACAGATACTATTAAAAATTATAACTAAGTTGTAAGTATATAGACAATATATGAGGATAATAAAGGCTTTTTAAAATGTAGCTTTAAGGACAGATGAAGAACGATTTTGGTCCCTGCTGGGAAAGCAAGAAATAAACTAATTACTATTAGAAGATCTTTTTTATTCTAAGTTTTAATTTTTTAAAGCCATAACCCATGTGGAAATTCAAAATACAGAATAAATGAAAGAAAAACTAAAGAGCTGACAAATTTCAAGGTGTGACCAAAGGAACCATTTGCAAATATGATCTCTGGATAATGTAGAACTTTAAGGGAAAAAAATCTGCAGACAGAAACTGCTTCATTTTCTTACCTTTGCTCTGTATTAAAGAGTGCAAAAATGTGCTTGCTAGACATAAAGCTCTTTTCCACATCTCGAACTTTCAAGTTGTCCAAGGGAAGCATGTACTTCTTTTCTTTTTCCTATTGGGGGTGGGGGAGGGGGTAGGGAGGGAAGGCGGGAGAGAAAAAAAAAAATTGACTTTAATAAAGATCTCGAAGCTTCCCAAGGCAACATATCACCTGAGTTCGCTAACACTTGATTATATTATCCTGATACTATCAAACACTGTTTTGACACCAGCTACCAAGGAATAAGTTATCTGAGATAGGAAACTCCAGTGATTCTCAACACTTGGGTCAGAAAAATTGTGAGGGAAGTTTATAGGAAGGGCTCCAAGATGGAGAAAACACATGGGCCTCTACCCTTTCCCCCTCATGTGGGTCCCCTTAGATGTTTTTAAATGTTAGTTTGATATTAAGAATTTAGCCATCTGTTAATATTTAACAAAAATGTTCTGGTCCTAATTCAATGAGAAATGCCAGATGGATTTCATTTCATGTTTTATTTGCAGCCTAAGCAGTTTTGATAGCCAGTGTTGGCAGGAGAGTGGAAGCACAGGACCCTAGCATGAAATACCGCCCCCCCATAAACTACGATAAAGCACAGAAAATACTTCCCTCATTTGGGTCTAGAATAAAATATAGATCCTGAAAAAGAATACATAAAATTGTTGATCTCTTTGGGGGAAAAAAAAAAGAACTCATTAGAAGTGTACTGAAATTAACTAGAACAAATTCTCTTTTATAATTAACAATTCTTCGGGAAGAATATGGACATTGGAGAGGTGAGGTCTGCAAATGGGACTGAATTGGTGTTAGTAAAACATATTGAATGCCAAAGAATTATTGGAAACATTTACTTTTAGGGACTGGCCCAGAGGCAATATTATTTTATGTATAAATGCCTAACAACCAGTATAATACGAGGGAGCCAAATACTCAGCATAAGAAATCTGTTAAATACCTACTACCAGGACAGGTTACCATAACCCTTGTTGACAGCAGTCCTCTGTACGGTCCTAGGCTACATCTCTGGTGCTGCTCCTGAGAAAGACCAGGACTAGCCTCCAGAGGAGGAGAGCATGGAGACAGCTATAACTTTTAATAAATGACTATTAATGCCCATGAGAAATACATGCACCATACAAAGGTGTTGACATAAACCTTTTTGTTCCTACAGCATATAGACCACTTCCTTGAGAATCTGTGGCTAGGCTCAGTAGCATGGATCAGAACTGTTCTGTGCTCTCCCTAGCTGGTTTGTGGTTATCATGTAGTGTTGCAGGGAATATCACTGGCTTTGCCACTTCTTACTCCTAAGTTAGTTGGAAAAAAGTTGGGCAGAGCACTTAGAACAGCAAAACAGTGGCACTCTGGCCAGAAAAATAAGGCTGCATGAAACAGATGACTGAAAATATTGAAGGAAGCTGGTTAGAGAACAAAATGGCCATCATCCTGGTAGACAATGTCTTCAAAGAAAAGAAGAAACACAAAAGAAACTAAATGGAAGAGGGAGAGGCCTAAGAATAAACATGAAAAAGCAAAGCACTCCAAGAATATTCCAATATTTCTTGTAAAAAGTTAATAATGTATCAGCAAATACAAGGATATTCTAAATAGCAAACACATAATTTAAGTAAATGGAGTTCATAGTTGAGACCAACTTGCTCAAAACACTTGTCAGACTATTTTAGGACAGGATTCTAAGAGGCAAAATCCTAGATTGAATGAAAATCTATCCAATACATAATCAAATGAAAATGCTTGCGACCCAGGGAACATTTTTTTATTGGACGTTTTTCAATGCCCTAAATTTAAGCAGCTGGATTTTTTTAATGCACCATCCTATTCAATCTTTCGAAATGATGGATTGGCCTTTTAATGGGAAATCTGCATTTCATTGTAAAGATGGAACACAATGTCCTTGGCTTGTTTCCTATAGAAGTAGGCTCCCTTTGTACTGCATTCTTTAGCAGCATATAGTGAAGACCAGAAATCCAGCAAGTTTGCATTAGATACTAAACACCGGAGAAATACACATATAAACAGACTAGGGAACATAAATAATGCAGTCTTAATTTTCAGAGTACTAAATGTCATTTATCCCATGTTTCTGAGGACATATTGCTAAATTATTTCATAATCAAAACTTTTAAGACTGACAAAGGAAGAAGAAAAAATATTCAGACTGATTGGTTTAATTAAAGTTGTAAGTAAAACAGAGAATTAAATAAGACAGCAGCAACTCCAAGCAATGAAACAGTATATCATGAATATTTCTAAAAGTCTTGGTGCTTTTAGGAAAGAATGACATTCTGCTAAAAGAACATCTTGAATCTGAAATAGCTAAAATAAACAAAAGGAATAGAGAAGGAGAAAGGATATACAGAATTATAATTTCTCAAATACAGTGAGTCTTAGCACCAGCTGAATTAAGAAATTTGCTAAATAATTGTCAGTTTCTATTAAACTATCTAATAATGTGCTGTCCAATATGGTAGCCACCAGCCACAGGCAGCTACTGGGCACTTGAAATGTAGCTAGTTAAATTGGAATCGCTATAAATGTAAAATATACAGCAGATTACAAGGAGTATGAAAAAAAAGAATGTAAACTGTCTTATTAATACTTTTTTTTACTGATTATATGTTTAAATAACATTTTGAATAAATTGGGGTAAATAAAGCATTTTTAAACATAATTCCTCCTATTTATTTTCACTGTTTTGAAGGTGGCAGTAGGACAATTTAAAATGATATACAGGGCTCATGTTAAATTTCTATTGACAGCACCAAACCCCATGTACTCATCTTGTTCCTTTTCCCCATCCATCCAAACGACTTTCCCTTCTGACCTCCCTGTCTCTGTTATCACATTTCTTCTTCATTCTCCAGGCACCAGTCCGAAACCTCACTACCCCTGACTCATTCTTTCTTCGCCTCCCTTATTACATCAAGACTTTGCCACATTGCGTTTGAAGCATTCGTCATAGTTCCCCTTGTCTGACATTCCCACCACATCACTCCAGGTCCCTGGCATCTCACAAGCATGTGGTCGTAAATAGTTTCCTATTCTCTATGCCTTTCAATTTCTCTAATATCGCCAGAAAGGGCAATTTTCAAAAACTACTTTATCAGATTCACTACAGTCCTTCAAAATTTTCAACAGCTTTCCATTATTTATGGGAAAAAATCCACTAAACTCGTTAATGTGACCCAATCCTTATTTGTAGATTTTTTTCTGAATAAGAAGTCTCTGTTTCAACCAGACCTTTGCCAATAATCTTTTCCCAATTTAAGATACCCTTTTTACTCCTCCTCTACCATGACAACGTTTATTATTTACACTCCAACTGAAGTTCTACATCCTGTGCAAAGAGTTTTTTCAAGCTTATAACTGTTACTCCTCATCTCTCTCCTTTCAACTAATACTATAGGCATTGTTTGTTCTATTCATTTTGAACTATATATGAGACATCCTCATTTAATATTTGTGTTTATGCATTACCTTTGACAATTTGTGTGAAATTTGTTCATTTGGAACTCAGAATGTTCAGTCAATTCTATTGCCTAAGTCGGTTACATTTGCAAAGAAAAATAAAAAAGAGAATGTTTTTTGCAATGAAGAAATAAAATTTGATACTTTGTTTTTCTTTTTTCTCTAAATTTGATATTTTAAACATTTTATCTTGAATAGACATTTTGAAGGAAGTGCTTGGAAAATTCTAGAGAAAGATTTTTTTTTTAATGAAGATTCAGAAAGGAACTTCTGCATATTTTCAGAAGCTTCAGAGGCTGGTATCAGTAATTCGACACCATTGTTTTCTTCACATTTAAATGTAGGTACCTTTCCTTTACTCAATACACGAGGGTCACCAGCCTTATCGGTGTGAGAGGGCTCCAGGATGACAAAGATTCTTTGTTCGAAGAGATCGGAAACATGCGAGTGCTAGTGTTCCTTCCCCGAAGTAACTTGGCAAGAGTTAGAAGAAATAGGAGAAACAGAACAGGCCAAAAGAGGTTGCATCTACATTTGAAAGAGTGTGGTCTGAGGTGGAAATAACTGACTGATGAGCAGTACAAAACAGAGGAATCAAGGTGACGAGAGGTAGGAATTATGGGATGGCCACAGTATATGTTCACTGCACTTGAAAGGAAACAAGAATCAATGAGATAGGTGTGGGCTTGGCAAGTGTTGAGTGATGGTCTCTAGTTGGCAGAGCACCATCAATATAACTTGAGTGCTGGAAGAAGCCACAGTGGGTATGAGCAGAGGATCTGGTGTGTGGAGGAATCACTCCTGCATATGAAAAGGACTGGGAAGCCTTTACATACTTGGTGATTTATGTACAGGGAGATTCAAAACTTCGGTTGAGTGGCCTTAGTTTGATGACACGTTTAATCATTTTATTTGTGCATGTCTCTTCTTACTAATAAGGCGACAGAGGATAAGGTTGTATTTCAAGGATAAGAACATGAGTCCTTCCTCATTTCTATGTATTATAATGCCTAGCATAATGTTGGGCATAAAAATTTCCACGGTGGGAAAGGGGGTGGGAAAAGATGGCCAAACAGAAACCTCCAGAGATTGTCCCACTGCAGGAACACCGAATTCCACAACTACTACGTAAGAAAGCACCTTCAGAAAAACCAAAAATAAGGTGAGCAATCACAGTACCTATTTATTTTTTATTTCAAAACATTAAAGGGGTACAAATGATTCTATTATATGGATACCTTGCATAATGCTTAAGTCAGGGCTTTTGGTGTGTCCCTCACAAGAACAGTGTTCATTGTACCCCATAGGTAAGTTTTTATCCCACACCACTCCTCCCATTATCCCCTTCTTGATTTCCAATGTCCGTTACATCCTTTTGTGCCTGTGTGTACCAATCATTTAGAATGAGTTAGGGAGGATACCCTCCTTCTCAGTGTTATGGAATAATTTCTGTAGGATAAGTACGAGTTCTTCTTTACAGGTCTGGTAGAATTCAGCTGTGAATCTGTCTGGTCTGGGCCTTTTTTGTTGTTCTTGGGAGATTTTTTATTACTGCTTCAATCTTGCTGCTCATTATCTATCTG